GGGAGGAGGCCCCGGGGAAGACCCAGGACACGCTGGAGGGACTATGTCTATCGGCTGGCCTGGGAACGCCGCGGCATTCCCCCGGAGGAGATGGAGGAAGTGTCTGGAGAGAGGGAAGTCTGGACATCTTAGACTGCTGCCCCTGCGACCCGGTCCCAGATAAGCGGTAGAAAATGGATGGATAGATTAAATCATACACCAGACTTGACTGCAAATAAAAGAATGGGAAAATCTCGGTCCCTTGCAATTTCAATTTTAATTTAGTATGCTGCAAATTGAGTACAAAAGCATTCTGCCATCGATGCAGCAAAACCATAAGTACTGTCTTTTTAATTCCATGCATTCTTCTTCCTCACCAAAACCTAGCACCTACTTTACCCACAATGCAACTAAAAGACCAAAGGTTTGGTCAGAGATTTCAATATGCTACCAGCTAATGTAGCCCTGAGCTTCAAGCAGTGATGAGAAGCAGGCTACAGAGATCTAGTGAGTTCATTTGGTTTTAATAGGACATCCCCAAATGGTTTTCATATTAAAACTCATTCTTCTGAGTAAAGATAGCATGATAAATCAGTCTGACCTATATACTGGGAGATATATCAACTTTGTGAAGTGATTTAATTGTTAATTTTGTTGTTGGAGTTCAGTCAAATGACCACAGAAAGACATACAAGTAAAAACAGATGCAAAACTGCCACAAAGATGCAAATCAACAAAACATAGGCACAAAATAGACACAAAATAGATACAAAAAGACTAAAAAGAAATTAAAAACTACCAAAAAAGAGAAGTATAAAAATGCAAAATTGCTAAAATGAGCAAAAATTGACTACAGATATGCAACAAGACTAAAAGAGACACAAAACTACTACCACAAAGTCTCTCTCAGTCTGGGGGCCTAGCTCCTGTGTAGGAGGGTGGGGGACTCTTACATGTCTGAGCTCAGGGGTCCAATGTCCCATAATCCATCCATAAACAAGGTGACCAAACTTTTCCACATGCTAAAAATGAATGTTTCTACGTTGCTAATGTTAAATGTTGAACAGTGCATTTGCATAAAAGGTCATTTAGTATCAGTTCCCTGCAAGGGTTGTATTTATGTTTTTCCACTAAAAAAAAAACAAAAAAACATTTAATTTGCCCAGGGGTGCCACACTTGTACAAAAACAAACAATAAAAGAACAAATGCAGTCACTGTCAAACATACTATGGTCTAGATGGTCTTATACTTGTAGAGCGCCTTTCTATGCTTTTACAGCACACTCAAAGCGCTTTCACAGATTATTCGGCCATTCACCCAGTCGCACTCCCAAGCACTCACGCATTCACACACCGGTAATATCACCGCTAACATCACCGCTAATCGAACCGCTAATCCTCCGGTTAGGAAACGACCCGCTGTACCTCCTGAGCCACAGCCGCCCCCTATGCTCACCTGATTCAACTGTGGTCAGTTTAGCGGCTGTGGCTGCGGTTTGTGGTCATGTCGTACTGCACTGTCACAAAGGTTTCTACAGCTGTACCACATCATTTTGTTGCATGATGAAAAATACCAGAAACACTTAAATGTGAGGATAAACCGCTGCTTGTGCGATTAGCTAAACGTTGCTGTCTCTATCTATCACTGCGGATAACAGCAGCTAATTAGCTTGCATGAAAGGAAGACAATACACTGTCACTGTGACAGTTTAGATAAAAATTCAAAAAGGTTGCCAGTCTTACCTATAACCAATCAATCTCTGCTGAATGCTGCTTTAACACGTCACAGCTTGAGGTAAATGCTCTGAGCTAATCTGCTTCCCGACATGACATACACTACTTCCGGTCTGCTTCCGGTAACACTAATCAAAATATGACTACAAAATAAAACTTCCTACTATAAAGCTGAAAATAATAAAATTAAATGTATTATTTGAATTAGATTTATTTTCGTTTAGTTATATTTAGAATTAATCCTCAAACTGCGTGTAAACTGCAGCTAAATTTTATTTCCCAACACAAAGGTCAAAATGCTGTGTAAAAAGTAAAAACACCATGGGAAGGTGTGTCCAGACTTTTGACTACTAGTGTATATATTTAATTTAATAAGTTTAAGCAGATATAGCTAGTAGATGGATTAAAAATCAGTCTAATTAGTTTTTAATGAAATGCTGATATTGAGTATGTTAATAATAATAATAATTAAAAAAAAGAGTTTCATCTACCTCCCACCACCTGGCGACGCCAGCAACTAGCTGCAGTTAAAGAAAACAGGAAGCTATTTTGTTTATCACCGGTCGCATCCGGTTGGTAACAGTTCTTCTGTGTTTTTCTCTCTGCTTCGGAGATTGTCCTACGAAACCTCAGTGCATACTTTTGCCTCGGTCGCTTTCTAGTTTTCATTATACGTAGCTAAACCATTTGGGAGAGTTTTACTTTAAAATATCTGTCTGGAAGTCCTGGTGTTTATTCTGGCGGGCTCCGAAGTTAGCTTGTACAGTTAGCCTGCTGTTTAGTGAAGAGCGATGACCGCGGACAAACCTTTTCTTTCTGCGTATTTCGATTGCTGATTCAAACCTTTTCGTGATGGCGAGTGAAAACATCGAGACCAACGCGAGGAACGATGAAGAAACTGGTCTTCCATCCGAGACAAATGAGCACGACTATGCCCACGCCGCGGACAATAACTTTACTCCCACAGAAGCGCCCGTCTGCCCCGGTGTACCGGCGGCGGACTGTGAGGCCACCAAGCAGGAAGGCTATGCTACACCGCCGGATACCGAGCAGAGCGCACCGGGGCTGCCCCCCGCCTCTTTGCCAATAGAGCTTCCTGAACCGTCCGTGGGTGCGGAGGTGGACTGTCCCGGTGGAAATGATGTCGAAGCAACCTCTCTGCCGCTGCAAATCGACGAAGACCCCCCAAAGAGTGTAGCCGTTCCCCCAATCTCCCGTTTTCGCGGTGGACGCCGGCATCCCAGGCGACCAGAGGACAGGAACTGCTCCAGCTGCAGGTCTGAGTTTGAGCGGCAGGGCCGCAGCTTCAACCGGAGGGCGGTGTACACCTTCACCTCTCCTGAGACCGTGCAGTGGGTCTTCCCGGACACCGTGGTCAATGAAAAGTCATTCCTGTGCGAGACCTGTGCTCAGGTCATCAGGAGCAGATGCAAGCGTAAGCAGGCCGGGAAGCGGTCTCTGTGGCTGAAACCGCCTGTGCAAAAACAGGTGTGTGATACTACCGTGATACGCGATTCTTCTATGTTATGATACACGAAAATGAGAGGAAAATCCCCAGGCGACATTTACCCACGTGTGTGGCCAAAAGCAGGAGGCGACAAGAAACAGCCTGGATAGGGTTGTAAACATAATCTGTAGGAGATAACATGGCAAATGGGCCACCTTCAGTAGTCCAGAAAGTAGAAAATTTCTAATAAACAGATTTATTAGCCATTTAACTTTTGTTAACATCACTGTCACTCAGCCCCAGCTCCTCTGTAAAACCGACCGATAGGAAAAACCGATCAGTTCTCTTTGCTCCGTACAACATAAGTAAAATAAAAACGAGATCGTTCATGTAAATATACGAAAGTTTAGTAAATCAAAGTTTTGGTTCATACTATACGAATCAAGTCACTTCTGGCTTTCACCTCCGTTTGGATTAAGAAATATGAGTTGCAAACATTTTGCAAAATTCACTATATACTGTTAATATTTTTGTATTCTAAGTAATGAGTTTGGCAGACACATACATACAAAATCACATAAGATAGGCAATATATACTATATGGCTTTCAAACATCTGTATCAGTGTCAAAAAGCCAGTATTAGACAGGCGCTATTCAGAATATCTTTAGTGGTTTACGGTCTGTCAACTGAGTCACCAGTGAGATGAAAGGAATAATGTGTCTTTGCGTTTGCAGACACGTGATATAATCCACTACATAAAGCTTCCTATGTAGTAATGAGTGAATGTTTTTGGACACAGCTGTAAAGTATATTACAACATAGGATTATGATCTAAAACCATGCAGAACCACAGGTTATGTCTGCTTAGGGACTCATTATTACAAAGTGTTGCATAATGGTTTCCGTTTGCATCCTGCGTGTTGTTTGGTGAGGGCAGTCAGAGGTACGAGAAAAGAAGAAAGGCCGCAGGATGGGGAAGAAGAGCAAAGCGGCACAGCTGGTGAGCAAGTCCTGCTACAAAGCTGCTTTCAAAATGCTCTGGTCTGCCAAAGGCGCCAGAAGGCCCATGATGGAGTTTTGGAGTAAACAGCTCAAAGAGGAGGTGAGGATGGAAGCTCTTATTATTGGATACTCATGTAAGTCACAACAAACATATCCTGCTTTAAGCACTTTCTTTTTTCTTACCATATAATATCATCATTTATTTCCTGTTATGGTGCAGATGAAGGCGCTGTCACGGCAGCCAGATAGTCCCTTTCATCAGAAGGTCTCGAGCAAGAGGCCTTTGTCATCCTTCCCCTGGCGGCGCTGTCTGAACTGGGCCCAGGACAAAGCTCCACTCGTCACCACCTGCCTCCGCTCACTGTTCCCTGACATCAACGCCCTCTCCAAGAGCAGCCAGTAGGTTTGAGTTCACACAAGCTACAGTGCTTTAACATGGGTCACTGGCCAGAGCAGCTGAGGAATCCTGCTGGTGCAGTTTTCCACTAAAACCTCATCAAAGGCCTGAGGATCTAAATCTGACCAGACGTGGGTTGGCGGGCTGATGAACATCTCTTGTTCTGTTTGTTTGTTTGTGTGGCAGCCAGATGTCAGAGGAGCAGGCCCAGACTCAGCTAGAGCGCCGGACTGTAGTGGCGCTCTCCATCCCGCTTTTCACCAGGAACATCTGGAAGAACAACTTCTTGCAGGCTGCTCTGGGGGCGGAGCTCCGCCTGCAGGGCTGCTCTGGCTCCTCCCTCGACTCACTCAACACAATGGGGCTGTGTCAGAACAAAGACACGGTCAGGCTGCTGCTGCACAGGCTCCGAAACGGCAAGGACACTGTGAGTAATCATGATCCCAAAACAAACTTGTTACATAAGGACTGACTGCAGCCACAGAATTTTCTGTTGGCACAATTCTGTTGGCACAAAGACTAGGCTAAATTTAATACAGTATAAACAGAATTAGGTTTAGAAAATACATTCTCCACTATTAAGCCAATTTCAGACAAGCATAATTGATGAGTTTTAACAACAAATAAAAGCTAAATGATAATGTGAAAGCCGGACAAATGAACATTGAGTAATTACCATTTTATTCAATGACCTGTTGCATCTTTGGAATCACAAAATGTAGCATCTGATTAATAAAACGGTTGCCTCAATTGCCCAAAATATCAGAGGCTGATTTAGTCAACTGACCTGTAAATGAATATACAGTTCACTTAGAATTATACAAAAGGGAAAACATTCATCTTTGCACTTCTGGATCCTTCACCTCTGAAGAACGCTAAATCAGATTACTAGTTGGAAGCTGTGGTGGTGATGCTGAAGTCATGGGACTGTAGTGTAGTTAGTTTTATTTTTATTTTATCTTTTATTTCAGGGACATTGCACATTAATCAACATCACTGTAAATGTGCTAGTGTTAGCCAGGAGGCAAATTTTCAACCACTGTTCCTAGGCCAGGTGTTAAACAGCCATCTGTACCCTAACTACAGCCAATTGTATTTGGGCTTCAAAAATCATAAAGGTGATGTTCACTCATGAAGATTATCTTGCTGAACAAAATGTGTAAATGCCATAAACTGTTTGCCACAGAGCTTATTTTTTGCAATGATCCAAAAGCCTATGGAAAAATCCCATTGGCATTGTGTGGAGGGAGCCAGGGCGATGCTAACTTCCAGGTTGGCCTGTTTTTGTTTCTTAACTTTGTGCTCTGTTCTTGTCAGGCAAGACAAAATGGGCGACAAAGACTAAAGATGAAGCATGAGCAGATTAAGATGGAAGACATGACAGATGTGGATGAAGAGGATATTGAGGAGGATGAGGAGGAAACAGATGAGGAAGAGGACGAGGAGGAAGACGAGGAAATGGAGGAGGAAGAAGTGGAAGAGGAGGAAGTGCAGGACGGAGTGCAAGAGGAGGAAGAGGAGGATGAAGAGGAGGATCAAGCAGCAGAGGAAGAGAAGAAGAAGATGGCAAAGAACCAGAGGAAGGAGAGAGGCAAACGACAGGCAAAGGAGACAGAGGAGGAGGAGGATGAAGAAGGGTCAGAGCAGAAGAAGAAGAGGGTGGTGGTGGTGAGGCTTGGCCTGCTGAAGGGACACTCGGAGGTTGGAAGATCTGACCTATCAGCTCCCTAAAGCTCTGTAGACTCCGCCCATAGACTCACTGAGCTACACCCCAGTCATAGAGCAGGACAGAGGCAGTGCCCTCTTCTCTGGTGGTGTTGAAAGGCATTTGGGGAATTGTAGGAGGTCAACAACTGTCAAGAGAAACTAATGAGAAATTTACTTCAAATTTATATTTTTCTGTGTTGAAACCAAATGTCTGAGCCAGAAATTAGTTAATTTGAAAGAAAAGCCTCTTGTCATGAAACTACTCCAGTGAAGCTAACAATAAACGTCAAAGACTGAATGAAGACACAAATGATACGTGATTATCTGCATTATTTTTACCATTGATGGTCGTTTGTCAAAGGTTAGCTGGTTCTTAGATTCGCCACCTGACACCCAACTTCCTCTGTTAGTACCACTTGCTCTTACAGATCCCATAATTTCCTAATCATTTTACTGGAAATAAACTTGTATGTAATTAAAAAAATCTATAAAGCATAGCTGCAGGGAGGCAAGCGACTCCAGACACACTTGCTTAAAGCCATGAGCCACCAACAAATCTTAAAAAAGTAGTTTCACTGACCATCAGCAGAAGGTATTGCTTATCCAGCTGATGCATGATGGGAGTTTTCATAAGGATAAAACTTATAACCTCACAGGAAAATAATTTTTTTAAATTCTGAACACGAAGTTTCCAAACTTGAGGCTGTTTCTGTTTATAAACTGAAGGTGTGCGTTAATTAATTTTTAACAGTTTCTCTGAGAGCGTGAATGACATGCTGAGATAAGGACCTGAAACAAACCACTATGGGTTTTGGTTACTTGTTTGTTGGCCACAGTAAACTCGGTAGAACAGATTCAGGGCTTTGCAGTATTTGTTTGAAGAGTGCTGAGACCTTTATGCTGCATTTACATCATGTGGGACGACGTTAGACATGAGGAGTCTTAAACATTATCTACATCTCATGACAGCTGAATGACTACAGAGTGGGTCATGTGAGGGTTAAAATACTGTCTATTGATAATATGCTACTATAACCAGGAGGTAACCTTTAAAACAGACTTTGACTAATGATGTCCATTTGTTTGGATTTCAGCCACTTAATTCAAACAAAAATGTGCTTGTCATAATTATGTCTTTGATGTCGGACGCCAACTGATGATTACCAGTAACGCAACATTAGGGAGGGCTAAAGATTAACTAATAAACTGAGGAAAAACATCCTAAAGTTAAATCTTGTCAAAACTCAGACTTGATTCTCCTTTTCTTAGAATCCAGATGTTCTTCAGAATTCAAAAAATAATCTCCTTTTCTTCCAGTTATTGCTAAACTTGTGTAACATATTTTAGTTTGTGAACTTATGGAAAATAGTTTTTCCCCTATAATTGGACTTAATTACATAGTTATTTCCAGGACATCAAGGACCCATAAAATAAAGTTAGATGATTTTGTTGCTTTCACCGACTAATTTCACGGTTTCTAGTACTCTCCTGGCAGGAGACGCTGGGATATGGTTTGATTTGTAATGATGGTTCATTCTTTGAGTTTCTCAAAGCATGTTTGGTAAATGTTTTTATTTTTCTGTTTGAGTTGAGGACTGCGACAGATGTTTTTCCTCACCATTGGTCTCGGATCTGATGTTCTGTTGCTAATTGTCAGATCCCCACTGGTTTCTGTGAACATTTGCCAATAAAAATGTTTAAGGCTTCCCTTGCTCTTCAGCATCAACTTTCTCTTTTCTCTGCCAGTGACTCAGATATTACTGTTTTGTTTAATTTTAAATGCTTTACTGTAACATGAATCTCTCATTGGTTTTGTTTAGTCTACAGGACAGTTTTACTTATTTTTTTTCCCTTTTTGCTGGAGCAAGGCAAATAAGCTGTAACAAATACTATGAACTGGGTGCAGAATCAATTGACAGTAAAACAACCCGCAGTACTACTTAGTGTTGAAAAGTAACAAATTACATTTACACAAGTTCTGTATGTATTTAATAATTGTACTTTGAGGTACTTCTACTCCAATACATGTCAGAGGGAAATATTGTACTTTTTATTTTGACAGCTTTTGATTCACTGCAGATGAAGATTTTACCTAAAATATAAGCTTATAAAATATACATTTAAAGATTAAACCAGTAGATCCCAAATTTTTTGGCTTGTGACCTTTTGGAATGTTTGTTTTTTTCATCTGAAGGTTGTTTTTGGGGTTTTATTGTTTTCTAGTCACTGTGTTCTTCAATAATAATGGTTAGAGAGATACTGAGTGAAATTTCTGGTAAATCTAGATGTGAAAAAGCGCAGATTGGGTTATTATTGATGTCAGGGTGCAGACTCTTAGAAATTTGATGAATTACACTATTAAAATATGCCAGCTCTTGGTGATTTAGTGATCCACCTTATTAAAACAATGTCATCCTCATCTACACAGCCAATAATGAATGGTCCCTGGTGGAGAATTGCACGATTGCGGGTATGGGTTCCTTTGAGATGCTACAGTAGGAGAACAACAGTGGGCATAAAATGTACACAGCAGCAGCTCGGTTTGATTGTAATCTGTGTATGCCGATTTTATGCAATAAAACCCATTACATCTGACTGCAGTGTGTCCTGTGAGATTTTCCACAATGACTGGCAGACTGTGTGACATTTTCCTCCAACAACAAATCTGTTAGAATGAACATAAACCTGTTTTTTATTCATTTGTCCCATTAATAATCTCCCACGTCATGACCCCTGAGATTTATCTGGTGACCCACTGGAAGGTCCTACCCCCTAGCTTGGGAACCACTGGACTAATACAAACTTTATAAAACAGGAGTTAAAAGTAGCTCCACCCTCTTGTTGCTTACATATTTGATTCAGTATTAACACATATGTAATGTATAACACTACATTTGTAGCAGAGTACTTAAAGTAAAATTACTTAAGTTGGATTTTGAATGCAGTGCTTTTACTTACAACTGTATCTTTACACTGCAGTATTGGGACTTTTACCCAAGTAAAAGATCTGAGTACTTCTTCCACCTCTAGCAGTAAATAGACAGCAGATGCCTGAACCTGCTAAGAACAGCACAAAAAGAGAAGGAAAATGTCTGGTGTGAAAGATCGAAGCAGCATGAAGGACTGAAAGATTTTATTTTCGTAACAGAGTCACTCACAGCAACAAAAACATCCACAGAGCTGCTGCAGCTACAATAAATATTCCGGACCACAATCCACCTTGAGCTGGTTCATTCTTCAAGGCAGCTTTTAGACCCAAGTAAGTGCGAGAAGTTCAGTTAATAGACTGATATGTTTTGGTGGTTATAAACTTATGGGACTTCATTAAAAGCAAAACTGCTGAGAGCACAAATGACTCTACAAGTCTAGGTTTGAGCTAATATTCCCCAAACGCACAACTCACACACTCAAATAAAAGCATCTGGTGAAAACTGCAGATCTGAGATGAAGCACAACAGTAACTGAGTTTGAGCACACTGCATCCTGAGAGGTTTTTCCTGCATACTCTTGTTTTAGTGTCAAATAAAGAAATTTGCCTAAATAAAATGTTGTCTAAAGTTAGAAAAGTTCGCTTAAAGATATAAAACACCTGATTAAAAAAAAAATCTGTAAATAAGAATCTGACTGAACTGTTAATGGGTATCACTGCTTGACTCGTCTATTTTGACACATTTTAGCCTGTTAAGTTTAAATTTTTTTGTGCTCAGGCAGCAGTTTTGTTCTTACCAAACACCCACAGAAATACTGAAAAATGTAAAGGATAGAGCAACTTTTATTTTGAAGGGGAGGAAGTCCAAAGAGCAGCCAGAGTCACAAAGCGTTCGGTCAGGGTTGTAACTGACTGACAGAGGCGACGACTTGACCAAACTGTGTCCACTGCTCTGGGTGCAGGTTAAACAGCTGTGCGTTTTAGCGACCAACATCTGGCTGAAAAATTTACAATCTGGAACGTTTGGGAAAAGAACCGTTGGGTTATATTTACACGATTCAAATATTTACCAGACAATGTTTTCACCGTCTGGGTGAACAAGACGAAGTTTTAGATGCATTTGTCCTGTGAGTGTGTTTCAGACGTTGAGGGTCTTTTTGACAGAGAAGATGATGTCTTTGATCTGAGGAAGGCTGTGGTCCTCCAGGATTTTGGCATAAGGCATGGGGATGTCGACACCTGTCACCCTGGTGACTGGAGCATCCAGGTAGTTGAAGGCAGGACCTAAAAGCACAGAGGAGGTTAAAGCTACTCTACTTGATTTCTTTTCAGGCTAGAGGGTCTACTGAGAGTCAGAACAAATGCCAGAAGCCACTACTAACTGCTGTTTGCCCCTCCCATTAGTGACAATGTGAACTACAGATACCCAGTTGTGACAAACTGTACAAAATGCAGCCTCAGGGGCTCAGGGGCCCAGTGTCTCAATCTGTCCATGTCTACCGGCACATCCAAGGGCAGAGACACGAGAAGCCGTCAAAGACCTAGCACCGACGAGGCTAACTGTTGCCTCACGTCGCCTTTGTCTGGGCCAGCTGGGTTGATAAAGTGGCACTTGAACACACCACACAGACAACAGCTTATGGCCAACTAGCACGTACAACCTGCGCCTGTGTGAGAGAAATAACGCTCTCTATCAGCAGATGGCAGTATCTGTATTCGATGTTCAGAAAGAAAAAGGAAAAGTGCTAGATTGTGGAAATAAAGCTGTAAACAAAACAGCTCTCATTCAAGACAGCTGCTGTTCTGGTAAGAGGCTGACATTGACGCTGCAGTTTTCTGCCCTGGGTCTTTTGGTTGTGGAAGAAGAAAGGAGGTTGTGGAGGCAAAAAACAAGGGGAAAGCGGACTAAATGGGTGAAAAATCATGGATATTACAGCAACAGACTGACAGGGCTTTCCCAAATTATCCTCTTCTCATGCACTGGCCAAGCCCGACAGCCAATCAGAGTGGTCTCTCTGTTAATATTTATTCATCAATACCTTAAAACGTGTGACACCACACACACTAGTACTTATGAAAGGCTTTGTAATCAAATCTTCACAGTGGACAAGACTAGTTAGTTAGAAGCTACCTAGAAGACAACATACTGTGTCACTGCTCCGAATGAGTAAATGAGGTGATGGCATCATTAAATATGAAGGAAAATAAAATGAGAACTTACAATGTAATATCATGCAACATCAGATCGAATGATGCCGTGTTTGTTAAAGTCTTACGAGTGCTACATCGTCCTCAGTGATCTGAATGTGGTTATAAAATACACTGTAAATAACACGTCTTCCTGTTTGCTTTGTTGACTGCTTTCAGAATGGATATCACCTCGTGTTTTCTGATAACAAGCATTACCACAGCCTAACCCCTTTTTTACCTTTTAATACTGCAACCTGATTTAATAAATGCGAAACCGTTCAAAACAGCTACTGAGAGGTGAGCAGGTACAATAAGAGTTTCTTCTCTCTGCTCTTTTTCGATAATGAGATGTTTAATTTAGTTAAAGATTAAACATTATATTAAACTAAACCAGTGTGTCTGTCAGTCAGCTGTCACCTTCCATGATCTTGGCGCAGATCTCAGCTCCAACCCCGAACTGAGGCCAGCCGCCCTCCACTGTCACCAGGTGGTTGGTCTTCATCACGCTGGCCTCGATACTCTCCACATCCATAGGACGGATGGTCCGCAGATTGATCACCTGACAGGCGCACAGGAAGTGGTTATTATGCTGTTGAACACAGGTCATTTATGTCAGGTATTAACTGGTGTAATCCTCTACCTCACACTCGATTCCCTCCTTGGTGAGAACGGCAGCAGCGTCCAGGCAGTGACCAACAAACCGAGAGTGAGAAACCAATGTGATGTGATTCCCTGAAACAAAGAAAGAAGAGAAGAAGAAAAAGGCTCAGGAACACACACAGATTTACTTTTTATATTAAAAGTTACTACAGACTGCTGCCCCTGCATGTTCAGTCTCTGTCGCTTCCGCAAGTACACTAATCATTCAACATTTTGGGTAATAAACTCTTCAGACACTCAACCTGATGACAGTGATCTACATGGTGGAACTATTTGTTTCTGAACAACAGACGGGCCATTGACTTCCAGAAGTCTTGTCACCACGCTGAGGTTACCTTGTTTGGTACCACTGTGCCTGTGCAGAGACCAAAACCAAAAACCTGGGCTCACCAACTGAATCTGGCAGCTCAAGCAGAAGCCAGAGCTGCTGCACGTAGGTAGTGGATGGATGGACGGACGCTGCTGTTAATCATGTTTATTCTGAAGTTTTACAAACAAACTGGTTGTCAGTTGTAGTTTTGATGCCACAAAGGCTTCGATCGACCAGTGCAGACCTCAGCGTTCTGTGTCAGACTCACCTTGTCTCTCGATCTTGGCTTTACCGATGGGAATAGTGAAGTCTTTGGACTGTGACTCCTCCGACATCTCAAAGGAAACGCCGTACATCAGCTCGTTCTCTAGGAACACCACTGCAACAGACACACACACACAAAATTTACACTAAGTCACTTCATGCATCTTAGGCATCAAGTATAAATGGATCCAAGAAGCAACTGCCCAGACCTCAGGAGGTGGTTTGACATGCATTCCAGCCAGATATTAAAAAGATGTAAACATAAGGTTTACTCAAACATCAGTAAATGCTCTGAGGAAATGCCCACTCACATTCAGTAATAACAGCAGCTGAAGTTACCTTCTGCCTAATGTCAGAAAATCACACTGTTTAGGCAAAGGCATAAAAAGCCTTTTCAAGAAAGATGGCAGTGGCACCAACAAAGATCAATGTGTAACAATTGTTGATGCAGGTTTGTTTACATGTTAGTCATATTCATTGCATAGTAAAATACGCCAAGTTTCCTTTTACAGAAAGGGTTCCAGTTTACTGTAGCAGTTTTGTGCAAGTCTACAGGCTGCAAAGCTGCTGACAGCAGAAACCAGTGAAATCAGCAACAGTAAAAGATGATAGCAGGTTTTCATTTTGGAGTGAACTCTTCCTTTACAAGTTCTGTTGCAGAACTGAACTGTAGATGTCTGATTGCATAATGAAAATCTTTTTCCTCTAAAACCTTCAGTCTGGTGATGACCCTTGACCTGCTGCAGTGCAGTGTCTCACCAGGGTTGTCGTCTCTGATGGCTGCTTTCAGGAGACCTCTGGCATCCTCCGAGTTCCAGGGACTCACAACCTTCAGGCCAGGACAGTGAGAGTACCTGCAGACAAATGCAACAACCACATTGACACTAGTACTATTGTCAGACCAACATCAACTACTACTACCACCATTAAAAGGACCTTTTCTTTTGGAGTTAATTTTCACCATTTAATTATTTGAACCATATTTGAAAAAATGTGCTTGCACACTGACAAAACACTCAAGAGGCTCTTCAGACACCAGAAAAGTACATTTATTACATGATATAAGTGATAAAGTGAAAGAAATCTTAATAATGTGAATGTTTTGGTCAAAAGACCATTGTCAGCACAGCTCATATGTGGGATGTTTCTGGAATGGAATTAAGCTTTTTAAAATGTCACCTCTTTGATTTCTTATTTTCTTTATTTCATTAAAATATCTCTATCTGTTGTTTTTCCTTTCAGTCTGTCTCTATAATGTAAACCTCTCCTCTGGGATCAGTCAAGTCTTATCAAAAGTACAGAAAGTTGTTACAGTACAGGCCTGTTACCACAGTAATAAGAACTAAGTGACAGTAACAGTGCCAGGTGTTAAGTGAACGCACCATGCAGCGAAGCACTGCGAGTGCTGCGCGCCAACGCCCGCTGATGATCCGTTGGGTCCTCTGAAGACAATGGGCACCGGCTGCATACCGGATGACATGTAGCAGGTCTTTGCTGCAGAGTTGATGACCTGATCGATGGCTTGCATGGAGAAGTTGAAGGTCATGAACTCACAGATGGGTCTCAGGCCAGCCTACAGGTGTCAACAGGCTAATATTAGTGAGAGTCATGTTGACATTTATGAAGCACTCCAGAAACCTGAAGCCGAGTTTTTATGAAAGCCCTGTGGGTGTTACAAAGAAGCCCAGGGTTATAACGACATGCGCTGTTTCGGGATTCATGCGTTAACATGTGGATTAACCAGAACTCACCATGGCAGCTCCCACTGCAATGCCAGCGAAGCCCATCTGCACAAGAAAAATGAAGACCAGGTGAATCAGCTGAAAAACACACCCTGCGTCCTCCGATGGTGTTTTTGACCGCACACCAAGGAAAGCTAACACTGACAGAAGCCTCTCAAAGAGCTGAATCAGAGTTTAGTTTACAACAAAATGAACGTCCGAGTGTCTCACCTCTGAGATTGGAGTGTCAATGACACGTTTGTCTCCATATTTCTTCCAAAGACCCCTACTCACCTGCACACACACAAGAACAGGATTTCTGCTGAGTTCCACAAATTACAGGCAAGATTTAAGACCTTTCTGATGCCATTTGATCGATAAGGTAAATTAGGCTAAATTATGTATTAACCACATGCGTGTATTTACAGTTACATAATTTCTGTCAATACTTCCCATCTGTATACAACATTAATTTCAATAAATTTATTAAACTTCGCCTTTAATGGGACCTGGACTCAGATTAATAACAGGAATTGATGGACGAATTAACCAATTAGGAAAAAAAAATGTTTTCAGCATTATGAGAAGATGAGCTTCCTAGCTACCGCCTAGGCCACTTGAGGCTGGCTCCAAAAGGGAGTCATTCTCCATAAACTTTCTAATTTACTGCATGATTTTAGGTCTTTGTGTTGTACTTCAGTTTTGAACCACGCAAAGCACTTTGTAACGTATAATTATTATTATTATTATTACTACTGTAGGCTATTAGCTTCCCTAAAAAAGCCACTGTGGTTCCGCTAATGTGAAAACCTGTGTAGACATGTTTTTGTAAAGAACGATGTCCAGTTGTACATAATCAACAGCTCATGTTCAATGTCCATTCTTATTCAGTTCGCCAGCTGTTGATCTTTTCTTCACAAATGTCTGAACCACTTTCCATATCGACATCACAGGTGCAGTGTGGAGCAAGGCACATGATGACAAAAACAATAAACTTATAAATGGTTTTCTTTCAGTATTCATATCAGCTTTAACAGATACACATACAGGATGTACACAGTCAATACAAGATGCATCTAAACAAGTCTGCACATCAGTAACGCCAAAGTGGCTTTTTTAGAGTAGCCAACAGTCACTACATTAAATCAAAAATCATCTCATCAGTGATTAGCAACACCAGGCATTGATCACACAGGCTCCTCAAATACTGTCATTTTTCAAGAAGACAGCGCCCCCTAGTGGGTAGGGGTATAAAACAAAGTATAAACAAACAAGACAATGATTCCACCAACTATTTTAGGCTGTTAACATCCTGACTCTGCTCCTCTGCAGCTTCTCAGCAAGTAGAAACATGACAAAAGATTCCCACCAAAGTGTCCCATATCAGAGATAATCACTGACTAGCATCCCAGCAGCAGCTGATGAGCTCACCTTGTAGGCTCCGTCATACTGAGCCACCTCCTCACCCATAAGGAACACCCGCTCGTCCCTCTCCAGCTCCTCATCCATCACCTGGTTCAGGGCATCACGGACAGTTACCTGATAAAAGATTTAAAAGAAAAAAAACTTTAATGACCTAGGGGGGAAACTGCTTTGCTATTTGAAAAAACAATAACAGCAGCACCACAGGTAATACAGACCCAACACTGACACCCAGAGAACAGAGTTCATCCTCAGGTCGTTCACATGTAAAGCCATCGTGTTAGTGAAATCTGTCCACTCTAATTTATTTTATACTTGGGTATGATTTACTGAAGACTGTTTCTGATTAATGTTAAACCATCTGTCTTGACAATTTCACATAAACACACTGAAATGCAAAGCTGCAACAGTAGTTTTCTTTTTTTTAAGCACTGCAAAAGTCTACTCTGATGGTGTACATTATATCTCAGACTACTGGGTTGCCACAGCATCACCCTGGACATTCAGCACTATGCAATAATTTAGGCACTTTAGTTGTGTAAATTCTGATCAATCACACAACACCACAAAGAGTCCAAACATACAACCAGCCATACAAAATCTAGCTTCAGAAAAAAGTGACCTGCAACAATATATGTTAATTACATAATGGTTTTTCACAATAATCCAGTTGTAAGCTGTTAATAAGCAGGTTTTAGTCCTTTTCCAGAAAGTGAAGTTAAAGTTTCATACATTTTTTTCACAACTTGACAGCAGTTTATTCTCAATAATGGCTTAAAATTACAAACGACTAATGCATAATTATCAGCCATTAACGCATCCATTAAATAAAGCGAATACTGTAATCTCTACAAATGGTGGCTTATCAGAAAGCTATATCTTTAGCTACATTTTCATGACAAAAATGCAAGCATTATGCATTAGAGTGGGCAGCTGAATGTTTTTCTTTATGGTTTCAGTGTTTGCTGTTAAAAGCAACTAGCGACGCACTCAAGTAACAGTCATCAGTTTAACAGGAAGCTAACGTTTATCCAGAGACCGGGAAAACATGATATGACAGCCGGTTTTCTTTGCTCAGTGACCGGTCAGCTTGAACACTCAGCAATAACGCAGAACGACAACGGTACACGGTCATTACGATGTGTAACAAACAACCAAACACAAACAAACAACTGCAATGTTAGCTGGAGCTAAAGTTAACCTGCTAGCTGACCTGCACAGCAGCCGGAGTACTTCTATGAAATCCCCGCCGTTGCAGAGCCGACAAGACATTCTGCAGAAAGACAGTGAGACCCAATTAACTGAATTAATCTACAACAAAATCAGAGTGATTACTCAAAAAACAAAAAAAAACATGATACAAACCTTTCCTGAGCGGAGAAAACACCTCAGGGACGTCGCCATCTTCAGACTGTCCTCTGCCGGGAGAGTAGGCGGAGACGCTAGGCGGACCAGGAGCTTTCAACCAATGAACGATGCAGCGTATAGTACGTCATAAGGCATAGCCAATCAAAACGGCCTAACGGAACTAGCGTGAGAAGCCCCGAGAGTAGAAAAAAATTCAAGGACACGGTGCTGCCCTAAATCATAGCTTCTGGTACGGTTTATAAGTAAAGGTCCTGGTGGCCTTGTACCGCAGCATCTCTATCTATTGTAGATGGTTTGCAGCTTTTCCCTCTTGTAATGTGTGTTGCTTGGACAAAAGACATGAAGACATCTGGTTCTGGAAAATGGTGATACACATTTTTGACATTTTATAGATTAAACACTAATGAAAACAATAGTTTGTTGCTTATTTATAGACATGGCTAATCTGCCCATATAAAAATAATAGTATGATTACTGTATATAATAATACAAATAACCACGTGATAATATCTTGTGCGCTAAAAAGTTCATATCCTCACCAGAGAGCTTAACATATACAGATGATCTGTGGACAAGTCATCTGTATACAGATATACAATAACTGTTTAAAAGAAAAAAAATCCAAATTTCCATAGGCACAAGAGTTCATGTGGCACAATAAAATAAGAGTCTCAGCTGTGTGATTAAAACAAACATTAAAATTCAACAGGATTAAAACAAAAGCACATAGAAATATCAGCAATCAATGTAATAAGACCCTGAAATTAATCCTTGACTGTCATCAAATGTGGGTAAACTCTGGAGAAGAAGAATGCTTATGTCACTCTCAGGTGTATTTCAAAGAAATATCTTTTATTGCATGTCAGCAGTGTTGACTTTAGTCTCCACTCCAATAACCAGGACGTTCTCATGTGCTTGTGGTTCAAGCACTTTTGTTTGTTCAGTGGTATTTTTGGCCATTTTTAAAAATTATTTTGGACAGGTGGCAGACAGGAAACCAGAGGGGAAAGAATAAGCTAGACTCTAAACCAATGGATTTATTTATGAGAGCTGGATACTGAAGCATACACCAAAAAAAGTTTTTCTTTTCATCCTGCTTCCATGTTGTGCAGCCCACTGCACATGTATATTAGTGCTGCCCCCACCCATACTCTCCCTCTCAGCCCACAGACTTTACACTGGGATGATGATCAAAATGGGCTTTCTAGGTTTTGGGAAAGTTTTACATATATGAAAGCACCATGAATTATTAAATCATAATACAAAGAGTGATAACTGACCGGGTTCACAGTTTAATGTGTCCTGTCAACAGTTTTACAGATGTCTTTCTTATCATTGTGGTCTAGAAAATGCTTTATGGGCCTAAAGGGGGAATTTCATTGCAGTACCACGAGTGGACAGTGGGAAAAATTGGGTGAACAGTGACGTGGTATCCTGCTCTCATCATGCATCCATGTTTTAACCACAGACAAAGAAAGTGGAAAATGTTGATGTTTACTTCAAAATAGTTATTGGTTAATTTTCTATCAGTGAACTGACTGTTTGCAGCTCTAGGTTAGTGAAACGTTTAACGAGGATGAAAACGTGTATTGGACATAGTGAGGGAATCTGTTTTGGAAGGATGATGTTTCCCTCCTCTAACAGAAAAGACCTGAAGCTGCTCTGATGTACGGCACTAACAAGTCTACGTTGGTCAATGTCCTTTCAATGGTCACCTATCTGCATGTGATTTGAGATTAACGGGCTAAAAATACTAAAACCAGCAGTGTTTGTCAAACATTTGGAGCTGTGTGGAAAAATAAGGCTTTATCTTTCATATGGGAGTCTAGACTGCAGAATTCATACATTTCTCTCTGTGTCTGTGACTGGAATGAAAACCACTGGTAGAGAAGAGAAGGGCGCCGGTGTCATGGTTTTAATGAACCTCTCACTGCACAATCTGATTTCACAAAATGGAGCAAAGTGAAACTAATGTCTCCCTCTGGTTGCGACCAAACAAAAGCCAACAGCAGGTGTGCGATCCCACCATGACCGTGGATTGTGTAGTTTCAGACAGACATACTGCCAAAATCATTCCTCTTATGGAATCAGTTTTATCTTCAGCATTTTCTTAAAACCAGTAATAATACATTTGCAAGTCTGGTAAAAAATTTTCAGCTTGTTTCCCTAGTAAACAATTTAATATACCAGTATTTTCTATGATCAAGTTACAGTTTTCTTGCATTTAATGCAATAATCTGCTTTATTTGAAGTTTCATACTTCTAGAAACATCCACAAATAAGAAGTTTATTTCTATTAAAATATTCTGTTCTGGAATTTGTTTTTTGTTTATTTAAGAAAAGTACATTTTTGGAAATTCTGTACAGAAATGACTCAATGTTGATTTTCTGCTATGTAGCTGCTGTTTATTTTCTGAAGGTGTTCTTTGTCACCGATGTCCTGCAGTGACACCTCTCAGTAAGAGGCTGGAGTACATGTCAAAGGTTAGAGATGATCTTAAAGAGGAAAAATTGGAGTTCAGCCCAGTTTCTCTGCCACTCTAGGATCAGGACAAATATCAGAGCACTGACAGCGTTTTAGATCCAGAAAATGCTCAATTTCGTTATCCAGCAGGATCAAGCATCCACAGAAGCACCACAATTTCAAATTCCAAATGTTCTACTGCCACTTTTACAAGCCCAAAGAACAGAAATGAAGCAGCAGTTCGGCCAGGAAAACCCACCAGACTCGGTTTGCCTTTACCCACTTTTTTTTTTATCTTGAGTCTGCTGGCTGTCAGAGAAGCAACCAGAAAGGTCAAACCTTCAGGTGCCTAGGATTGTCATGTTTTTGAATGAACAGACTGTCCTCTACTCTCTCCACAAGATTGGATTTAAAAACATTTAAAACAGAAATAATGATAAAAAAAAACGGTATTTAGATCTCTTTGTTAGTGATTTGTTTTCACATCTCAGGGAGTGACGCTGTGAACCAGTCCAGGCCACAATGCCGCCACATTTGTGTAGTGAATTTTCCAGGTGGAGGCCGGGTTGTGGCAGTCGGTAGAGTCAGATGATGGGTTTGCTGCGGTCGGCAATCTCTGCCTTCTTCAGTTTGCCCTTACTGAAGGTCTGGATCGAGCTCAGCAAGGCGGTGCGACCTGCTCCATCAGAAGACAGTGGAGGAGGAGGAGGACAGGAGGCGGCGTGCAGCATAGGAGCAGGTGGAGGGGGAGGGGGAGGAGGAGGAGGGGGAGGAGCAGCCTGGGCTCCTGGATTAAAGAGAGAACAATGAAAGGAAGATGTGTCAGAGAACAGCACCAACAGTTTCTAGTAACGCTCAGTTTCGCCAGGGGTTGGATGTACAAAGGTATGTTAGACTGGTCTACAGATTTTTTTTTTCATAAATCCATAGACTAGAACCCAACAATGATTTTTTTTACATTCGCTGTAATGTCTGTGAGGAAGAAACATGTCACCCAGCGCAGCAGATCTAGGGCACAGACCAATAAGCTAAACCAGGGTTTGGATTCACCAACACTAAAGTAAGCACATGAAGTCCATTGCTGTTTTTGGCCTCTGTGTGTAATTTGTTAAAAAAAACAAAAAACAAAAAGATAATAAACACCACCCTAATCTTTTAAGAATTGCAATAAACTCTGATGCAAATTTAATTTCAAATCAAACACCTACTGAGGATTGTAATTAATGGCTTATAACTGATTTATAAAGCATTAGCAAATTATTAGACAATCAAAGCCATTAGTTACAACCTGCATACAGTGACTTATTAAAAAGTGGTACAACTATTATTTTTAATAAAAATTGTAGATACGGCATACTGAGTATTTTCCAGAGTATCAGGGACAGTGTTTCTAAAGTTCATCTTTGTGAGACCAACACAACCAGCAGTGTCCAGGCTGAACTCAATCCAGTCAGTTCAACCCTGGAGTTTGGATGGCCAGTGGTTCCTTAAGTAAATACATTTACATTTGGTTATGTTAAATCTTTGTGATATACTCAACAGTTAGAAATGTTTCTTCTGTTTTTCAACATGCATAACTACTCTAAACACAACAGTATCCATGAGCCTGCGTAGCAGCTGCTATGGGGGAGAAATTGAATCAGAGCCCTAGAATGTTCAGATCAGATTAATATTACTTTACCATCAGCAGCACAGCAACAGAAGCTGAAGCTCTGGATGATTCCTACGCTAATGCCCTCCGGAACCTGTAGTTGATTCTCTCCTAAGGTTTTTGTTTGGGTCACTTTGGTCAACAGAGTGAACTGATGATGAGTTAAACCTAAACCTGGTACCTCTCTTTCACCTGCGCCATTTTGCATCCCAAACTGAATGCAACCAAAGGATTACAGGCAGAAAAGCAAACAGCTGGGGAGCACAAACATGTAGCTAAAGCCGAGGACAAAAGCTGCAACCAGAGTCCAATGACTCCACAGTGAATTCACTGCAACGTAATGAAAGGACATCCATCAATCTGACAGATGGTAACCCAACCTGGCTGGAGAAACATGCCACTGTAGTGACAATTGCCGTCACTGCAGTGGTGGAATAACCTTTTTTTTTACTCTGGTGAAGACTTTAGAACTTTAACAATAGTTAAAACATATGAAATGGGAGTTTAATAGTTTAACAACTGCAGAACCACTTAAGTCTGCAGTGGTGACAGATTATCTCCAGGATGGCTGGAACAAACTGCCTTTCATTACTTACACGGCAGCCACGGTGACCTGCTATTTTTTATGTAATATTCAAATAATTCTTCAGTCATGTCCACAGTTAGACTTTCAGTGTGACATCAGCTGTGATCACATGCTGCCACAAGATCTACAGACTAAAATGAAAATGGTCCCTAATCACAACAATAAACCTGCCACAAAAATGAAGCTGACAGTGGTAAATTAACTGTAAGTCTCTGCAAACTTATCTTTTAATAAAAATATATTCTCTGCCTAAATGACACCTCTAAATCTCTCCTAAATATCAGCAGAAATGAGACTTGTTTCCTTGATTAGGAAGTTAATTAAATTAGTTGTTATCTTCTACTCCTAGTCCTAAAAGTAGGATCAAATTGTCAGCATCACTCTCACAATTTTTGGCCCATTAGGACCAATTTCTTACTCTGAGAAGGTTGATAAATACAGACCTAGATTTGCAGAATGGTCTGCCATGATATAAATTATTTACTGTGCTTAAACATGAAAAACTGCCAGTACCGATACACAAAACAGGTGGACAAATGGTCTTTTTAAGATATCTGTGGACAAAGAATTATCTGAATAGTCAAATAAACCATAGACTGTTTATAAAGATGGACGATGTGTCAAATTCAAGGCGTGAAGCCACCACAAGTCGACTGCCCCCGGTGGATGGTTGCAATATAGTTATATCCACACCCCCTCCATGTTAGCAGATGGGACATAAACCAAACTAAAAACTCAAATTACAAATACATTTTCCCATTTTGGATGGTATTTTGGATGATTTGACAGCTTTGACTGGTTGCCTGACACTGTGACTCCACCTCTTGTCGCTACTGTGCAGAGTCTCGTGGCAAAATGCGTCACACAAAAATAAGATGGCCACCCCTGCATTCACAATATTTTGGCTTCACCTGCACAGTGGCAAGAAGTGGTGATGCATTGTCCATTTTTATATACAGTGGTGTGAAAAAGTGTTTGCCCCCTTACTGATTTCTTATCTTTTTGCATGTTTGTCACACTGTAATGTTTCAGATCGTCAAACAAATTTATATATTAGTCAAAGATAACACAAGTAAACACATCATGCAGTTTTTAAATGAAGGTTTTTATTATTAAGGGAAAACAAAATCCAAAACTATATAGCCCTGTGTGAACAAGTGTTTGCCCCCCTGTCAAAACACTGGTTTATCGCACCTGAGTTCAATTTCTCTAGCCACACCCAGGCCTGATTACTGCCACACCTGTTCGCAATCAAGAAATCACTTAAATAGGACCTGCCTGACAAAGTGAAGTAGACCAAAAGATCCTCAAAAGCTAGACATCATGCCGAGATCCAAAGAAATTCAAAAACAAATGAGAAAGAGAATAATGGAGCTCTATCAGTCCGGAAAAGGTTATAAAGCCATTTCTAAAGCTTTGGGACTGCAGCGAACCACAGTGAGAGCCATTATAAAGTAATGGCGAAAACATGGAAAAGAACATCATACCAACAGTAAAATATGGTGGTGGTAGTGTGATGGTCTGGGGCTGTTTTGCTGCTTCAGGCCCTGGAAGACTTGCTGTGATAAATGGAACCATGAATTCTGCTGTGTACCAAAATATCCTGAAGGAGAATGTCCGGCCATCCGTTTGTGACCTCAAGCTGAAGCGAACTTGGGTTCTGCAGCAGGACAATGATCCAAAGCACACCAGCAAGTCCACTTCTGAATGGCTGAAGAAAAACAAAATGAAGACTTTGGAGTGGCCTAGTCAAAGTCCTGACCTGAATCCAATTGAGATGCTGTGGCATGACCTTAAAAAGGCAGTTCATGCCCGAAAACCTTCCAATGTGGCTGACTTACAACAATTCTGCCAAGATGAGTGGGCCAAAATTCCTCCACAGCGCTGTGGCAGACTCATGGCAAGTTATCGAAAACGCTTGATTGCAGTTGTTGCTGCTAAGGGTGGCCCAACCAGTTATTCGGTTTAGGGGGCAAACACTTATTCACACAGGGCTTTGTAGTTTTGGATTTTGTTTTCCCTTAATAATAAAAACCTTCATTTAAAAACTGCATGATGTGTTTACTTGTGTTATCTTTGACTAATATATAAATTTGTTTGACGATCTGAAACATTACAGTGTGACAAACATGCAAAAAGATAAGAAATCAGTAAGGGGGCAAACACTTTTTCACACCACTGTACAAGCTATGAATTAAACACAACCAAAAAAAAAAAAACAAAAACCTTCACATTTATGTATTGAAGTGTTTGGCCAACTGTAAACAGCTAGCAGGAAAATCTATAGGTGCAAAAGAAATTGGCACAGCACTGCTAATAGCATAAAAATGTTATTAAATAAATAAGTTAATGACCAAAACCAATTGTTTAAATATATGACCCCCCACCCCATCCCAAGCACATAGACATTATCAGACAAGACAAACAAAACAAACAGAAAGACAACAGACATGCTGACTGAACGAGCAGACAGACAAAACTGACAGATCACAATCTCCAATGAGAACAGGTCTGAATCGGAGAGCAGCTGGACTGTAGGTTGGAAATCATTGCAGATTGTGAGGTTTTTGTAAAGATGTGTGCACACCCTCTTCCAAGCAATCAGTGACTCGCTAATACTGAGGAGACGCTTCTTCACTTTTAACCAATAAGAACATAGAGTATGTGGTCGCATGACAGATTTATACGCTCAGTCAATGTACTTTCAAAAAGAAAATCACCTGATTAGGCATCCCCCAGGATTTTGGTCAGAAAGGATGGCACTCAAGTCTGACATGGGTGAATAAGAATAATTTGGTTTTCAGTTAAAAGAGGGCTGTGATGAGGTCACCTGTAGATTTACTTATTTACATACTTTTAACCAAAGTGATTTTAATTTAAAAAGTAAAACTTGTGACTTTATATTGAAAAACAGTGGCAACATTTCCTTGTATATTTTGTATTTATTATGTAGTTGTAACTACTTTCCTTTTTTGCAGTCATGTGGCTAACAAGCTTAAATAAACCAGAAACAAGTTTATACACCATCCAGATGAACTCCAGGTATTTTGTAAAATAAAGAATTGTTTATTGGAGCTGTGTGACATAACATTTACTTTTGGTTTGAAGTGAACTCCTGGAACATTTTGCACAGTTAAGGCTAGCTAAGCATCAAGGCTGGAAACAGCTGGCCTCCCTGCATCCCAGGTTAACAAAGTTCAACTAGCAGTGCCCATTTATATCTAATTTGTTTAATCCATGCAAAAACTGAAGTCAGCGACTTGCCATTTTACACAGGGTTATGTCCTAAACTATTTTGTGGTTCTCATCACAGGCAAGAAATAGACTTGTCAATTGTTTTTAATCACTGAATTATATTTGAGACAGAACTGGTTTTTACCATCTGTGATTAGAAATGCTGCCAGACTAGAAACTGCAGGACGGAAAAGCCAAACTAAGCTACATGTAATTTATAAAAAGTATCACCATTACACAGTTTGTCCATCAGAGAACACTGACAAGTTTATTTTCACAGTGTGAAATGTCGCCCTCAGTATTGGCCACACAATAATCCTAGGATCTGTATCACAACTGTTTATGTAAATAAATAAATTACAGCCAATCCTTGTTGGAGTTTTTAAAGGTCACATGAACTATTGTGAAGTTGTGTACACAAGTTACAACCCTTTTCTGTGTCTGTAAATCACTGATTCAAAATGACAAACTTCTCCGAGCCTAAAGTGGCCTGGGTGGTGAACAGGTCTGGTGATTCCGCTTTCAGTTAACCGCCAGGCATATTAGTGCCATCTGTACTGGGCTCATGCTCCCACTCCATCCATTTTTAAATGCAATTTCTTTTTTAAGTCTATTTTTTCATTACTTAAGATCACAACTGTGAGGCAGGTCTTTGTGACCAGGAACTTGCTGGGAAGCCAGGGTGTGCAACATCTTTAAAAACCACCGGAGACCTTCATTATCATCGACATTATAAATCTTTTACTTTACCCAATAACACGGTCAGAATGGAGCATGCTCTATGGTGGAGACAGCACAGGAATAAGAGAAAGAGGGATACGACAGTTATCTGTTCATTGGACCAATCAGCATTTACATAGTATCAGCAGGACAAACAGGAGGAGAGGGGAGAGAAGAGGAGGAGGAGGAGAGACAATCAGGAGAGAAGAAGTGATAATAATCCCAGGGCAGGAAACTGTCACATTTGTATCAGTGTGATGACAAATCTTACATCTGATGATATTCTAAATTTTTCTCATTGACAAATCCCATGAAAAGACTAAAACCAACAAACAATAAATTCGCTATCAAGAACTGTGTGCATATGTAATGCCTGATATATCTTCTTCCTATTAAAACATCTGTGAGAGTCACACTGTTGCACTGCACTGTTCCCTCATGGCCATAAACACACACTGCAGTTTATTTTGACTCTGTCCCACACCGTCCTGCTGCTGGAATAGGAGCACCCAATGTGAATTAAACTGCTACTGAAAACAGTTCCACACAAATTCTTCCCGTTTATGTAACATTGTTCAATCTACACTCAATAATGACAAAATAAAAATATAACTTTAGAATTTTTTGCTAATTTAATTTGTCCATTTAAAACTAAACATACAACACAAAATGCAAACAAGAATGGAAACTTCCTGAAGTTTCGTTGCGAGTTGTTTTTCAAGATTTAAATCTTCAGCAGAAAACAATGAACTCAGAGTCACAGAAAATGAAACTACTGAGAGGCAGGTCTTTTTTATAGGATTTCTTGTCAATAACAAAAATCTGAATATACTGCCAGACTTGCACACTAAAATATTCAAACATTCATGTTTCCCACCCTGCATCTAACTAGACACAGCAAAGTCAATGAGACACACTGCTACCTGTCTGAAAGCCAGGTAATCACATGACGAGAGAAGAGGTGAAGAGACAAACAGGTTAAGTCAATAATTAGTCTTCATAATCATACATGCAAATTTCAGATAAAAAGTAAGAGAACATTTTAGAGTTACTAATAAACATGCTGAGCCGGAGCTGTTCCAGTCTGCCCAATACTTTCCCAAACCAAAAGACAGACAGATGGGTTGGAGGACAGAATTACAAGAAAGACAAACAGAAGGAAAGACAGATGGACAGACAGGCAGGCATACCTGTGGTTGATGGGGAGGTAGGGGAGGAGGGACAAGTGGGAGGTGAACTGGCTCCAGAACCTGAAGACAGATTTAAAAAAAAAAACAGCCAAATTAATCACTTTCAATCAATAAATCTTTGGTCCACTTTTGTTACTTTAAATGCTTCCAATCACATAAGCAGAAAAAAAAAGCTTTCGACTGGTCTGAGTCAGTTAACGTTAGCTTCGGACTGGAGGATGCATTTTGTACAGTGTGTCACAATCAGGTATCCGTAGTTTAAGTTGTCGCTAGGAGCCATGACGCGATGGGGGGGACAAAGAGCGCCTTGTGGTGTCTGTTCTGAGTCTCACTATACCCTTTAGGCTAATAAAGAAATTAGGTAGAGCAGCTTTAACTGAGTGACAAACTTTAGCTAGCCGCTAAATTAACCTCCTAACAAATCCCCTTGGTTGGGCTAGCCCCATACTACACAGAAACGTCAACCGAGACGTCTCTCTCTCACCAGCTTTGCAGCTGGCTCTGGCAATAGTCAAAACATGAAGCAAATCAACGTGTGAATGTGTATGTCTGTTGGTTAAGTGGTGTGTAGCTAAAAACATTCTCACGACCTCTAGTAACATGTCGTGACTTAAACATAAGAACATATTATGGCTAAGGCTACAGTTATACACGTCATTATAATAATATTAACACCCTGTCTGCTGACAGTCATCAACTCTTCTCTCTAGTTATCCTTGACCAGATGTACCCTGTAGAAACTCATAAGCATGACTAAGCATTTAACAGTCTGACTAGACATCCTATCTCCACTAAACATTTCTAATACATAAAGTATCTATCCAATTTCTATCTGACTAAAAATACCTGACACTACTAAGGTAACTATCCAATTAGCTACCATTTAGGCTATTTCAAGGACAAAAGATTTGGAGCACATTTATTACTGCTTTACACAGAGTTTAAGTATTTTCTGGAGGTAGTAACATCAGTGACCTACCAGAGTTATTGTTGTTTCTGACAGAGATGTCTTCCTCGTTTTCATAAGCTGACTGTCTGCACTTCTGCAAAGGCACAAATACAGTGTTTTAGATTTCACTGTATTGTTACATCACTGCAGCTAACATGCTGTAGATCATTCTGATTACACATTTCCGGTATGAATATATATATACACTGTCTCTTTTCCATTACTACTGTATACTTGTAGAGTTGAAGTCTCAGTTCTTCCACTAACCTCGGGCTTTTTAAACAGTGAAAACATGTTCCTGTGGGGGTTTGTCCTTATTCTAAGATAAACACATAACTACTTCACAGAAGAGTCAGATTTACTTTATTTCAATCCATACATTAAATTGAACATTCATGTCATATTCATTAACTCTGCTTGAAACAGTAGATAATCAGTGCTCTAACTCAATATTTAACAATACCCTTAAATAAAACAAAACAATAACATATCATAGCCAAAGATGTACTATTAAGGTTTCACTAGAGCTACAATTGAGGCGTCTCTGTATTGTGTGTTTGTGTCCCTTGCCGACCTTCCTCGCCAGAGTCTTCCTCCTCTTCCTCTCCTCCTCCGAGTCATGATGAGACTGAGCTTTGGTCAACCTCCTGTGCTGGTGGAGCTTCGAACACACATTAATACACAACATTAGCCTCATCACAAACAGCAGACTGCTTATTTATAAGCTACTTTTATCTAGTCTTTGTATAAAAGCTACAATGGAAAGTGCTAAAGAGCAGAATCAGGCTGGTTTCTCCAGATGCAATGTTCCCCAGAAAAGGCAGCATATAAGAAATAATGTAATGGGGTGATCAGACATAGTTGCAGCTTCTCAATAATTTCTGTGAGGAATTGAGTGATACACATTTCTGAGGCAAGTGACTCTATTCACTACATGTAAGGTTCAATCTGACCTTGAGGCTCTCTCATTATGCATGATGAAATAATCCAAGCAGCAGAAAAGAATGGGTGCTCCTTTGCTGCAGAGTGTAAGAACAGTAAAGGGATGACAGAGTTCACTAATCTACCACGGCCTGCTCGACATGCTAACTACCGTCCAAACAATTTTCTGTTCTGCTTTCTTTTGGACTCACCATGCAAGAAAACGTCGGCATGTAAAATATGACCTAACTGCATCTTAGCAGGGAGATCTGAATATTTTATTAATGAAACGATAATTTTTAAATAACTACCAAGACACTAGAATATATGAAAGCTGCTGCAGAAGAACAAATTGCATTTATTTTGTATTTCTAGAGAGACGACTGGGACTTTCCCTGCTGTCAGACGTTTCCTAGAAACGCCATCCAGGAAAAGCATTACCGTAAAAGTAGCTTTAAATAATTCCACACCGACGTCAGCACTGAGTTTTTGCAGTTGCAACATTTAAAGGTTGTGGGGAAAACTATGTTGCAAGGATTTTCCAGTCTTTTTGTCCCTGATCCTGCTGACATTCCTTTC